ATCAGTTCTCCTACTGACCTGTCTACTCTCATCTTCTCTTGCTATCCTTCCAGGGGAGGGGACACATCAGAGCCCAGGAGAGGAAATGCACAGGAGCCCCACACTGAGCACTTGCCTTCTCAAAGGCTAACTTGGAGCTCAGCCCTGAAAGATGCATTCTGCTCTCAAGCTGCACCTCCTCCTCTTCTTTACTCTAACCCTAAAGTCAAACTTATTTTTGGAAGACCACAGAGTAGGAAAAAAGAGCTTAAGATGCTGTAAAAGTGTGTGATGTCTGGTTTTATTCACATGGCAGATCCTGGCCTGGCTCCAAGCCCTGTCAGTGCTGGCCAGTGCAGATGTCAGGGCACTAGCACAAGACCTGGAGGTGCAGAATCACAAATACATGCAGCAGGAACACTGCAAATGCACAAGTAAGACTATATAAGGCTTCTGTACATATAAAAAAAAAAGAAATTGAGCTTGCATTGGAAAGCAATGGGAACACATGATGGAAAGGAAAGAGGGGCCCAGCACTCAGGCATGCAAGGGCTTTGAATGCAGGTCCTGACACCTTGGAACAATGCCCCAGCTGACTCCATTCAACACCCTGCCATATCCAAGACTTATAACTGATGGGCAGGGAAATCTAGTGTCATTTTCACTGAATACCACAAATCTGAGCTTTTCTGCTCTTTTTGCAGAGCACAACCTTCCTAGCAATAAAGCTTTTTTTCCCATCCCTGTGGGAAAATTTCCCAAACTCATTGAAGAAACAAGTTTTTGGTAAAAAGACACTGCTTCAGTTTGCCAATGCTGGATCTGTAAGCTTCCTCTAGTGAGTGACAGCACTAAGTTCTGACAGGCTGTGACAGACCCGACTCCATGGGTCTAAATTAAGTTAGGGAATCATGTTTCTTGTGCTGACTCGGTGTTCCACCTGCCAAGCTCAGGAAGAGCAGAGGAGGAGAGGAACCAATCTGAAAGCAAACTTGGAAAAGTACCACCTTGGAAAATGAGAAAACTAAAGCCAGCAAAGACTGAATCCTGCAAGAAGGTGAAGGGAGGCCAAGATTAGTACTGCTGAGACAAAGGGAGATGCAAAAATAGGACTGACCACACAAGCATCAAATCCTGTAAAGGCAGGAGAGGGGAACTGAAGGGCAGATGGAGCAGATCTGGAGTTTAAAAAGAAAAACTGGGTCTTGATGGGAAAAAAAGTATGGTGACAAAGGCAAAAGTGGATATGAAACAGGCAGGGCAGCCAAACTCCAGATTGTGAGGATTTGCCAGGCAGGCAAGGCTTCTGACATGAGAGGGTGTAATTGTAAGTGAGGGGAAAAATACAAACAAACATACCAACCAAAAACAGGGTCAGAGAGTAGGAGTAAAGAAAGAAAATGGGGCAGAAAGAATTGTACTTGCAGGGTTCTAAAGTGGGACACAAGACTCCTGAATTCCTTAACATGCCTATCAAGTTTCTAGAAACCTTCTGGAGTTGCAAGTGTGAGTATCCAACTACTTTGCTCTGTAATTATAAGCTGAAGCATCAGAGATCTGCAAGATGCAGTTAAAACTCCCAGGCCTGCTGATAAAACATCTAAGTAGATAAAGACTGAAGCTATTCAGATATTTGGACAAACTAAAGTTGATTACAAAACCTTTGTTCACTTTCTCTTTACCTGTGTGAAACAAATAACACTGGGGTATTAGAGCACTACATTATCCTCCAGACTCGAATTCAAGCTCCACTGTTAGCTAGAAGCTCCCCTGTAACTCATCAGAATCATTTAAAACACAATTTTACATGCAATTACTAACTGTGTGCCAGATTAAGAGACTTCCTTAGATCACTAAAGCCAGTCCTTGCCGACACAAGCATAATCATCTTCAAGTCCCTTTTCTATGCTGATCAAGCTCCATTTGAAAACCAACTAGATATTTTGGATGATTTGATTGAGTTTGCAGAAGAGATGAACCCTCTGAATTCTGTCACAAGGATCAAGAGCTCTGTTTTATATCAAGAAATGCCAAAGAAATGTTAAATCCTCTGTGACAATTTAGCTAAAGTCTCAGATTGGGCACTCAAAATTAGTAGCCAGTTCTAGTGTTTACCTTTATTTGCAGTGCCTAAAAACTACTGTGACAAGGTAGAACTTCTGCACTGCAGAAAGGTGTTCTGAAAGTAACACACTGGTAAGTATTAATGAAGATTAATATAGAAAGGGATAAAAGGATAGAACACAATCCTGCATTGTGTAAAGAACATATATCAGCTATCCATACAACTAGATGCTTTAATTGGTAAGGCTATACCACAGGAAAACAGCTAAATCAGACTCTCAAAATTAGACTGGACAAACAATGGAAAAAATACAGTAAGTAAAAACATCACATGGCTTTATAAACATATGCTGAAATGCTCTGCCTCAGTATTTATTTGATCATAAACTACCCTATTGTTTAAAGCTGGGTAACAGACTATTTCTCTAACAATTTTTATTCTGTTTAATTTTAACAAAATATCCTTACTACACAGCCATCATAGGCTTGTAAGCTGTAGTGTGTACAGCTCTCCCAAGGTATGTCTAAGAGAGCACTAAGTCTCCGCTAAGTACATTTATTGACCTTACAGCGATCCACTTTAAATGCTTGTGCCTTGATTTCAAACAACACACACAAATAAAAGGCATCATTCTAGCAGAGTTTAAACCAAGAGCGCAAAACCAAGGTACTGTACTGGGAACTACACCAAGAACTCTTATCTCACCCATCAGGGTACTGAAGCAGGCACCTCACAGCACACTTGAGGTACCTGAAGTGTTTTACTCACTTAACTATTCTTTGATGAGAGAAGGGAAAGATGGCTCTCTCTCTAGATCCTTTGTAAAACCCTATTGAATTGACCTAAATCAAACTCAGCATTATGCAATTTTACAATTTTTGTATGCTAAGCTAGTTTATAAAGGCTCAGATTACTTCTTATTTGCCCAAATGAAGGGCAAGTACAATATATTAACATGGAAGAACAAGTCAAATTTTTTGAATGAAATTTGCAATTCCACACAAAATACCTAAGTTACCATTTTGTTTTCTGCAATGTAAGTCAGATTACATTTAACTGACCTCTAAAATCTCTCTACCCTACTAAGCAGCTAAATCAATCTAGTTGACAGGAAAGGAATTTTAAACAATCCAAACTAATTGGTACATAAAAAAACTTTGGCACAACAGGACTGAAATCAGTCCCTTTCTATTTTTAAGGTACAGTTGAAACTAGACTTTCTCACATGAGGTGATTTCTACTTAACACCATCATTTTCCTTGCAATTTGAACATGCCAGTCTTAATAAATCTGTGTCTTGTCATGCCAAAAGAGCCACACTCAAGTTTGAATTGGACAAGCAGCAGTTGGGAGTATGTCCTTTCATAGGAGTCTCTTTAATCATTAGCAAGGCTTTCATGGCTTCAGGTGTTTAATGGGCCATGAAGTTACAGAGTTACAAAGCTACAGTTACTTCAAATCCTGTGAGTATCTGACCATACCCTGTGCCTGGGAAATCCAGGAGCTTAGCAGGATCTATCTGATTACACAGTATAGAAGGAAAGACACTGTCTAAGATATACCCACGTGACAACAAGCAGAAGGAAAACAACTTTACCTTCTTCAATACAATGCCTACAGCACTCACAGGTGAGTCACCTGGCATATTCTCAGTATGACTGTCATTCATTCTCAGTATCACTGTCATTTTCCTGTTTATGCCATCTCTGTGCCAGCTACATGACTACAGTCAGTCCTTTTTTTCTCACCACATTTTGTTTCCTTACATGATCCTGCCCTGCCCAATGCTCCTCCTGCAGAACGACCACTCCTCTGAGCAGCAGTCAAAAGCTGAGTGTAGAGCAACCAGTTACCCACACACACTCCTCTAAAGACTAAACTAGCCAAGAATGCATTGGATGAAGAGTGCGGGATATCAGCTTTCAACCAAAACAAACCCAAGCCAAAATGATTCAACCAAGGCCACAAGCCTTGCATTGCCCAGTGTCCTGTTGCACAGGAAGGAAAGGAAGGTAAAAATTCCTTACATTACTGATCAAGAACTTCAGAAGGGCAGCACTCCAGAAGCAGCTACTCATTGCTAAAGCACTGCTGCAGCTTTATTTTAAAAAAACCAAAAAACAACACCACCAAACCACACACACCTCCTTCCTTTATATTTATATCTGCTTTCAGGATTTCACACACATGCCACTTTTCAATAAGAGCATGCAAAAGAGTAGTTATCCCGTTTGCAGCACCACGCTAGGCGGAAAAAACCATGAGTTTACTCTGATAATATTACAGGTTCTTTCACACATTCAAACTATGAAGCAGGAAAACTTTCCACAGACGCTTATGTTTCTGGGCAAAGTGTCATTTTTCCCTATCAGCAGAACAGTGTAAAAAGCAGGCTTTAAATAGCATTCCAAAGCAAACGTCACTTCCTTTATCATCCCAAACCATTAAAGATCCCAATAAGTTTCAAGCCAGTAAAGAGAATTAAAATGAGAGCTGTACAGCATGAGAGCTGAGGAAAATTCAAAATGAGCAAGCAATTATATAAAATTTCAGTCAAGGCTCGAGTAGCAACACCAGGTGGCTTCAACTAGAGGTTCGCAGAGCGAGTAAAGCTGACTCAGCAGTGGAGGAAACACAGTGATGAAGGCTTAAAATCTGCTGCAATGCACTCTGAAAACTGCACATAGAAATGAACTAAACCAAAACTTAACAGACATGCTCATGCAAATAAAGATTCTATTTGTTAATATATCAGAATAGTTCATTTTTTCTTTAAATACAGTATCAAATGTTTATGTGCACAAGGAAATTGAGGGAACACTACACTATCTGTTTTCACTACACACTGACATTTTACTAGGAGTATTCAACAAGAATAAGAGCAAAATATATTTAATCAATTATTCTAAACAGTGAACCAAAACAAAATAAAGTAGTACATCCAAACCAACATTACCTTGGAAAATCGAGCATTTATCCATTTCGTAAACGTTTTTTTCTGTACATCATTGTGTTCATCTGGAGAGAGAGAATTAGAAAACAAGGAGTGAAATTGCATTCTTGTTAATCCTAGATTGTTCAATAGAAGTCACATTAAATACTGTCCTGAGAAGTGGGAGAACTTTTTGCCTTATCTGTCAATAAAGCTGTAAAACCATCCACAACACTTTAGTACTCGCAGAGGCACACAAATGTTCTGCCTTTGCTAGTAACCACAGCAGCTCCCTCCTTTGCATTAGAATCAGCATCACAGCACCTCCCAAGCGGGTTTCTGATGCATAAAATTCACAAGCTTCCCATCTGGTGAAAAACAACCTACGAAACCATGGGCTTTTAATTAACAGACTTTGTCAACACCTTTTTGCCTGAATGCATTACTCCAAAAGGTGCTGAGGCCCTTACTCAAGCTTCTGATGCAGATAATAGCCTCTGAGACAAAGCTACTGGGACAACCCTTGAAACACAGGCAGCCTTACGCACCCTGCTTTTGCACCTGGGTTCAGAGGCGTGTTAGTGATCAGTCACAGACAAGTTCAGCTAAGGTGTGGGAAGGGCTCAGCAGCCCTTCCCTTCAGATGTCCTGCTGGTGTGACACCAAAGTGCCACCACCTAGGGTCTGCAAGACAGCCAGAAGGACACAGCAGGACAAGGAAGAAGGGCAGGCAAGTCTGTAGGTCAGAGCAGAGGGAGGAGCAGTGGCCTCCAGCTGGGCAGAGGGAAGGCAGCTTCCCAGGATGCCTAAGGAAGCCATTTAGGAATCACCTGCAATTTTACAGAGCCTGTCCCACTAAACCAGAGTGAGTCACCTCCAGCACAGGACAGACACTCCTGCCTCTATCACAGGACCCATCTTGGGTAAATTGCACTGAGCACTGCTAAAGGTGAGCCTGTGCTTCACCACATGTACTTAAATGACAGTGAAATAACTGCTGACAACCAGACTAGGCAAGGGAGGTTCACCCAGAACAGACTTCCAGGTATGCTTGCTGCAAACAAGAAAACACATACATGTAGCCTGTCAAAGGTTTCAACCTCCAAATCCCTGCACAAGTCACAGCCAGGGCAGTCAGAGCCTTACACCAGGCAAACTGCTGGACAGCTGCAGCCCAGATCAGGACTCTCCAAGAGCTCTTCAAGACACCACCACCTTCTTGGCAGACCAATCTTGAGATGCCCTTCAGGCAACCACAACACACCGCTGTCTGGAACGCTCTCTTGCAGAACCTCTTGGTGGCAGCTGGCATCAATTTTCCGAGAATCTATTCCACAAAGCAGCAAACCACAATGGTTTTCAGACTAACTGTCCCTGCACTCGGAATGAAGCCATAGAAAAAGCCTGATTGCAACTCAAATTTTCTACTTCACACAATCATGAAAATTTATGCATTCTGAAGCAATATCAGATTATGATTAAAGCACCACTTACAAGATCATATACCTCAGCAGCAATTGAGACAATAAGGTTTCATCTATAAAATCCAGATATTAAAAAAATAAATTTAAAAAATCACAGAATACAACCAGAAGATTTCTTACATAGAAAACCTCAACATTTCTCATTTCTGGCCAAACATGGAAGCTGACACTATCCACGTATTTACATCTAATATATCTAGCCAAAAAAACTGTTACACACAGAAACCAACAACCTGGTATGTCTCACCTAACAGCAAGGAATAGTGGCTACAGCTCAGTCCAGATACAAGAAGTCACATTGCTAAGAAATAAAGTGTCATGATAGTTGAAAAACTTAAACTGTATGAAATTGTTCATTTAAATTAAAACCTTAGTTCTGGGCTTCTTTTAGGCTACAGCTGAAAAACCTGCTTAGGACACAAACATGCATGTCAGCCAGGAGCCATTGTTTCACCCTTCCATACCTTTCCTCTTTGGCAGCTAAAGCTGATCCAACAGACCCCACTCTTGAGTCACACCTCAAGCTCAACTGAACATCAAAGACAGCCCAATGACTGAAAAGATTTTTCTGAGCAAGCTTCAAGATAGATGTAGCATTTGCACAGCATGCCATACTCAGAATGCTGGAACTCAAGGTGTTGTTTCAGTGTATAATTACCTAAGACACCTTGTTAACTCTGTCTTTTACCCTCAGTGGCCTACAGTTCCTTACCATCAAAGACGGATAGAACCAAGTAACTTCCTGGTAGATCCTAAGTATCCATCTCACAGGAGTCTGGCAGACAAGATGAAATTAAAAAAAAAAAAAAATTTAAATATATTGAATCCATTTTTCCCCTACAAGTCTATTTTCTTTTTTTTCCTTTTAAGACACAGGAATGGACCAGATTGGTCCAACTGCCACTGCTGGAGCAAGGTTTTCCATTAGCTTTAACTGCAAATACTATTTGTATTGAACAAAGTGAGATTTAAACACCATTCATTAACCACTCTGCCCCTTTTTGTGCCAACACCCCCATCTACACCCCTATGTACCATGATACTTTCCTATGATGCTATCTGCCTTTTTCCTTCCTTTAGTATCTGTGAGAATGAAGAGTAACACCACAGTTCAAAGTATCACATTCTTTTAACATTATTACTCCTTAGCATGATAAAGGCAAAGAACAGAGAGGCCAAAAACAGTCATATAACTGTGTAAGAGACCAAAAACAAAAGTTATGAAAAGGGTCCTGCATTTATAAATCCTGTGCAGTAGGGGCTCTACACACCCCACTCTTGGAGGGTTCAGCCTCTTCCCGAGGACATGCATGTCAGGAGGTGACAGCTCTTCTCAGCATTCCCAGCTTCAGCCTGCCAGGACCCCCTCAGTAGGCCTTGCCCCTACAGCTGCTCCCCAACACCACAATCCAGTTTGTGGCAGTACTCCTGCTAGGTGTGCTGCAGTAGCACACACATCACTTATTAAAACTCCAGCCCCTTTTCTCTTTTTTCAAAGAAAGGGTTTTCTAGGAAGGGGAAGGAAAAACATCCACCAAAACCCACATCTTTAATAATCACAAACTACTTAGTCTTGATAAAAGAATTGGTGAATGAAAGAACAGGAATGTATGTACCCCTACTATCCCCTAAGGAGCAGTGCATCCTTTCTATTTCTTAAGCAAGGAATAAGAACCCCCACAAGTCCCATCTTCCTAAAACATCCTGGTCAGTTATAAAATCCACAGACAACCCTTGCCAGTCAGACTCTACTCTTATGTTTGCTTTATAAAAGCCTCTGAAACTAAGATTTTTGTAACTGGCTATTACAGCTACAGCCTTGTCAAGCTTTCTCCTATAAATCCATGAAAGAAAAAAAAAAAAAAAAAGAAACTGAAATGCTGGTGTTTGGATAGCAACATTGACAAGTTATTTTATCCCTCAAAGTAATTTTCTATAGATTCCTACAAATTTGTAAGGCTAACCCCCAGAGGCTGACATTATGATTTGGATAACAAATTAGCCACATTCAGTAAATAAACAATATCACCATTCAGCAAAGCACACGGCAATCCAGCCAGTCAACTTCTCACACAAGACATTAAAAATGTCAGCAAGTTACAGCCCAGTGAGAAACAAATTCACCAAGTTGCTAAAACATTTGTTTCCTTTCACACTGCTGCAGCCTGACAATAAAAGCCAAGGACTGACTCAGGGCCAAATTCTGCTTCATTACCTACTGACTGTTTCCTCTCTCTGCCTGCCCTCCAGTCACTTAATGGACTAATAATGGACAATGTCAGAACAGTTTGTTCCTTTAAGAGGAAATAAAAACAAACCTAAACACGCACACACACACACAAAATTAAACTCTTGTGATGACAAAAGAGAGAAGAGAAGCTTCCTATCCCGGATGCCTGCTTCTGTTACACAAGATGATGTATGTCCACCCAACTGGGGTGTGCTTGGAACAACTGGCTCCTGTGATCAGATGCCCAGGCTGTGTCCTGGCACTCAGTCGCCCCCCGCAGCCGCTTCTGTACCCTTACACACCTCCTCCACCCACAACACTGTCCTTTAACTTCATTTGGGGAACCTTGAAAACACAGTTCAAGTCCAATCTATTACCTCGCGAATATCATGTTGGAGAGCAAAAAGGAATCTAAATTATCTAAAAATAGAGGTAAAAACAAAAGCCTCACTGGATTGTGGTTTGTCCTCTACTCAACCTCTGTTTCATGCTGAAAGAGAGCTTTCTTATTTCCCCAAAACACATTACATGCTTGCATGACAGAACTGCATCATTTAGCTTTTGAAAGACAGAAGTTATCACACCCAAAACAGCTGGCAGAACAGCACTAAAATGAAAATGCCCTGGAGAAGCATAGACTTGATTGGCAAATAAAGTACAGAAATTGCCCAACCACTCCAGCACACATTACCAAGGGTCATCTCACATTTGAAGACTTAAATTTGCCTTCACCACCTCGTTATTTAGGTTCTCAGCAAAGGAATTTAGAAATAAAAGAAAGAATTAGCCTGTGGGTTTCAATTAAGACACTTGGAATGTAACGAAGTTAGAAACATCCCTTTGCCTAAGCCTTTAGGCAATGGGGAGTATCTATCGTAGATACCGCCCCTCCCAAGACTTGCACACCTATGAAACCCTGACAACAGTAACAAAAAGAGGCATGAGGTTTGTATTCCTGGACAGAAAAAGCCTTTTGAGAGCAACTACCTTTCTGTTAAACTCCGACGACATATAGCAAAAGACACAAAATAAGCATCTAAAATTTGAGCACGGAAACCAGTACCGTTTTTATCCCTGTTAGCAAGGAGCAAAAAGCCAAGCCATGAAGCACCAGTTTGTGACCACCAAGCTCAAAGAAGAACCCCTGAGCTCATTGTGAGTACTGGCTCCTGACTTTATCAACACAGAATAATCTTTTTATCAGCAGGTTTCGGGTTGGGCCTTTTTTTAAGGACTGAGGGGAAAGGGGGAAGGTAAGATGTTTAGGTTTTTAAAGGAACAAAAAGCAAAAGTTGAGACTGTACTGCATATTCTCTCTTCTCTTGCATAACCAGGGTAGAAAAAAATAGCTCCAGCAACACATAATTTGCTT